AGTGAACTTCTCAAGGAATGGACTGAGGCTGGGGTCAAGGCATCAAGAGCCACCACACACAGACGTGTCAAGGAATTTGGCTACAGTTGTCGTATTCCTCTTGTTAAGCCACTCCTGAACCACAGACAACCACAGAGGCGTCTTACCTGGGCTAAGGAGAAGAAGAACTGGACTGTTGCCCAGTGGTCCAAAATCCTCTTTTCAGATGAGAGCAAGTTTTGTATTTCATTTGGAAACCAAGGTCCTAGAGTCTGGAGGAAGGGTGGAGAAGCTCATAGCTCAAGTTGCTTGAAGTCCAGTGTTAAGTTTCCACAGTCTGTGATGATTTGGGGTGCAATGTCATCTGCTGGTATTGGTCCATTGTGTTTTTTGAAAACCAACGTCACTGCACCCGTTTACCAAGAAATTTTGGAGCACTTCATGCTTCCTTCTGCTGACCAGCTTTTTGAAGATGCTGATTTCATTTTCCAGCAGGATTTGGCACATGTCCACACTGCCAAAATTCATTTAATACACAGTTTACAATTTCAAGCATTCATGGTTCCCTCAATGAACTGTAGCTCCCCAGTGCTGGCAGAACTCATGCAGCCCCAGACCATGACACTCCCACCACGTATGGTCTGAGCACTGACAGGCTGACCCCCCACCCCTTCAACCTCTGCAGCAATGTTGGCAGCACTCATAAGTCTATTTCCCAAACACAACCTCTGGATATGACGCTGAGCACATGCACTCAACTTCTTTGGTCGACCATGGCGAGGCCTGTTCTGAGTGGAACCTGTCCTGTTAAACCGCTGTATGGTCTTGGCCACCGTGCTGCAGCTCAGTTTCAGGGTCTTGGCAATCTTCTTATAGCCTACGCCAGTGGTTTTCAAACCGGTCCTGCGAGCAATATATAGATTATAAGTGATTAAATACAAGATTAATAGTAGTTATTAAGATTGATGTTGTTTGGAATTGGTAAAATGGGCTGGGAAAAAAAAAAAATCAGAATATCAACTTGCATAATAATTATGCATGCACTATATTTTTCCTTTTCTACTGTCGTGGTAATGCAAGGAATGTTGTGATTGGTTGTCAAGGCAGCCAATCAGAATTTAGCAGCGTCATCTCTGATTGGCTGGAATTATGGCATATTGTAAGTAACGCTGGGTTGTGTTGAGCAACGAGCCGAGAGCACTGAGGGCGGGCATCAAGGGAGCAAGCTAGTGAAACGTTGCACGCGCAAAAGAGGTCTGCACACATCCAAAAACTTATTTTAAATGCAACATTTATTTTTGTGCACTCTAAATACTTTTTTCTTTGCAAAACGAACATTATCTCAACAAAACTCAGATTGCGCGTGTGCAAAACGCACTTTTGTGCGCTCAAAATATGATCTTTCGCACACAGAATTGTGGCAGAGATCTAAGCCTATAGACATATAGCATTCTTTATTTATAAAACTTTTTTAATTATCAAAAATAATTACTGACTGCAACTTTAAAGGGGTCATCGGATGCCCATTGTCCACAAGTTGATATGATTCTTTAAGGTCTTAATGAAAAGTCTTTAACATACTTTGGTTAAAATTTCTCAATGGTAGTGTAAAACAAAACCCTTTTTACCCTGTCAAAAACAGCTCTTTTCAGAGCAAGTCGTTTTCTTGCATGCCACTTTAAATGCAAATGAGCTCTGCTCACTCCGCCCCTCTCTTCCGAGCCGCTCTCTGAGAGACGGTAAATTTTAGCCGCATTCATCGTGAAACTTGCTAACTAGCACGTTATTAGGAAAGGCGATTTGCAAAGATTCATTAAAAAAAAACCTTATACTCACTTCTTCTGTAGGTGAGGCTGGATCACGAATGATTCGCGTGAACATAAATGCATTTAGGCAGATGGGGGGGGGGTGGCGCATTCCCTTCAAAAATAAAAGTAATCCACTGCGTCTTCAGCGGTTCAGATGTCGGGAGTAAATGACGACTGCTATGTTCATTATTACATCCAACAACAAAACACTTCAATCACTTAGGAATCATTCTTGTCTACATCTGCTCCAGCAGTGAAACAATGACGGACTGATGACAGCTCACTCAGGGCGGGTCTAAGGTAAGACACCAGTCCAGTCTGTGCGGAAACACCACTGTCAATCAACAATCGTGGGAGGGGCCTTCGTCCGTGTGACGTCACACAGACAGGCATCTGAGATCGGCTTGATTTGAGAAAGGGGAAATGATTTTAGTAGTTTAAAAAAAAAACACTGGGTGGATTTTTATCATCATAGGGTGGTTGTGTACACACACTGCCAACACACATTTCAGTTCAAACAACTTGTAAAAGTGCATGTCGCATCCGATGACCTCTTTAATACACTGCATATCTGCAAATACTTTTGGAAACACTTTGTAACCATTTTACCTGATGACTTGGTCCCACTCGAATCTCTCCTTGTGTGCTGTTCAGCTGCCTGAAAGACAAAATATTATTTATTAAATGAAATATGGCTGTGCAAGTACATTAATCAATCAGTACATTAACATTTAAAGGCTGAAGCAATACTTACAGCCAACATTCCACAGGTAAATACAAAAAAAATATGCCTGTAATAAACAATACATGAATACAAATACCATATTTAAAAGAAACATGCTAAGTTAAAAAATGTCCCTGTCATGTGAGCTGTTTCAGGTCCCTGTTTTCCACCCTTTTAAATCGCCTCCTTTCAGTGTTAATCATAAAATGTGATTTGCCTATCAGCAGTCGAGATGATCAATCCAAATCCCGCCTACATAGCATAACCAGCCAATCAGCGTCCGACTTCTCCGTTCCCTCCAAAGGTTATATAAACGGAGGCTTGGACATCCAGTTCATATATTTACACATAAATCATTACATTGTGTGTGCACAATCAAACTCAGGGCGCTCAACTTGCATTGTGATGTGCACAAACACCGTTCACTGTGTAATCATTTTGGGCGAAAGAAAATATTATGCTAAAACAATTTCCTGGACAAATATTTACGGAACAGACGAACAAAACTAATTTGTAATAGCAGCACCGCGTTCAACATGCATTACGTAAATTACTTAGCAGTCAGCAACAGTATCTACACAACATCTGCCCCATTTTATCTCGTCAGGCTCTTAGCTGGCCTTTGCGTGTGTGTGGCCGAGCGAGACGAGCTGTCAAGTTCAAAATCATCTCGGTTTGCACTAGAACGCAAAAGTATTCACGGTGTCGCAAAAAGCGCTGGCGCGCGCAAAACCATACCTCTTTAATAAAAAGAAGCAACAAACCTTCGCGGACTGAACAGGTCGTCCATGGCAGAGGCTGTTTCGCTAGAGCTTACAGTTTGTTTGCTGCGGCGGCGGCTCAAAACTATGCTTTCCTCTATTTCATACTACTCAAAATGGAGGCTGCGCGGAGTATTTTTTCCTCAGCGCAGGCGATGACCTCAGTGTTCACGCACAGCCTACTGAGATCCTCTTCAACAAGCATAACTGAGCATGTGCCGCTGCAGCCAGCGCTAATGGGATCATCTCCGTGTCCGCTGTCTATGGAGATCAGCTTCAGGGAGATGTGTTTGGCCATCCTCCCGTGTCAATATTCACACCAATATGGATGTCTCGATAAATTATTGAACCACCCTAGTCTTGATGCCATTCCTTTGCAGATTTGATAAAAGGCACCGTGCATAAACAGTGAAGAATAACAAATCTCGTCTTGTTATAGTCAGTGTGTGGGTTGTAGGATATAAATACAGTGCGTGTAGATTTAAAGGACTGCCACTGTGGAGACGGTGGATTTATTTCGGATCAGTGGAATTAGACTAGACGCTTTAAATGCAGCCCTGTCTGCTTAGATGGCTTCATACATCCCTACAGCTTTACTGTTAACAAGAGGGCCTGTGAATTATTAATAAATAATATTAATAACAATAATAATTGTATTATTATCATTATTATTATGTGGATCATTATTACCTCTTTTTTTTTTACTAATTCCAAAGCATTATTTTACCACTAGGTTTGTTCCATTTTAAATCACCTTAAAAAATTGTAGAAGTGATACTGAAAAGTAATGCTGTCATGATCTGGAATTACTTTATAGCCATGCAATTTTAGAAAACTATCAACCAATCAAAAAAGAGCATTCATCAGTGTTTTGGTTATATAAAAAAAAGGGTATTTCCGTCTGCACAAGACATGCTCAAACCTGTCAGAAACAGGCAAAAGGGAGACTATTTAGATTATGATACTATACAAAGGCCTTTCATTAGTTGAGGTAATGTTTTTATTTGAACAGTATCCACTATCACAAGCACAGACCTCAGGAATCTGCTATGCAGCATTTACAGGAAAATACTGTTTGCTCTTTTTTGCAATACAATCATCATCACACAAGTACACGTAACACTCATCCAAATGGACACCATCGCAAAGTTTATGATGCTTGTTTCTGTTTCCTTGATGATACGGTCCCTGGAACCACTCAATCTTTAGTTATAACACATACTGCTTTCTGTTGTATTGCCACATCTCAAACTGAACTATTAGTACGTTTACTATAGAAGGGCAAGTAGTTCTAATTGTACTACTGTGGTCTCAGTTCAGTGGATTTCTGAAGTTCTTCCCAGCAAACTGAGCTTTATCCCCCAGTTCCTCTTCAATTCTGTGCACGAAGAAAACAAGCAGGTATGTGAAAAAAGTGAAACATATGCTTATGTATGCCTATATGTTACCAAAAATAATTTTATTCTAATAGAATTATCTGTATGCTTACCTGAGGATCTGGTTGTATTTGGCCAGACGCTCTGAACGGCATGGGGCTCCTGTTTTAATCTGAATAAGAAGAGGGAAAATAAAGAGTTAATTACCTGAACATGAACAGGTAACCTTAAAATGAAATTCCTACATTTTATGATCAATCTAAAGCATATTCAGTACCTGTCCAGTGCAAAGTCCCACAACCAGGTCAGCGATGAACGTGTCCTCTGTTTCCCCAGAGCGATGACTCACCATCACACCCCAGCCATTGGACTGAGCCATCTTACACCTGTGGGGGGGATGTTATAAATAGTTCACAAACATTTTTTTTTTTTTTTAATTAAACTATTTAGGATTTTTCATTGGGATTTATGGAAGGATATTCCAGACAATTTTCAAAAAGGACTTGCAAATTGTATTTTCAATTGAGTTTTCCATATGTGGATGCATAAATTGTAACATAATCCAAACGCAATTGCAAATCTTGCTTTACCGTTTTTGTTTGCGTTTTCTTGAACGCACAGTGACTGCCAAATTTCAAATGAAAAAGCAAAGTCCATTTGCAACTGTATTTCCCATGTCTTACGAGTTATGAGCCTGTCATATCTAAATAGCATTTTTCACCTTACCTTATATTTTATTCAACCACTTTAATCCATTATAGAGTGTGCATATAGGGTTGGTGACAGTAAGATCATCTCCCACCACCTGTATGTCCGTGCTGTTGGTAAAATTGGTCCAGGCCTCCCAATCATCTTGATCAAAAGGGTCCTCAATGGAGACCACTAGAGTAATGATAAATATGAAGTCACATCTCTGCGTCTGCGCTCAAAGAAAAAAATAGGTAATGTAATTAAATAAGAGAGCAAATGACTGATGAATACCTGGATAATCCTGAATAAAACTTTTGTAAAGGTCAGCAAGCTCATCAGGGCTGATGTATCGATCCGGGTCATCAGGAGACTTGAAGTCCAAGTCGTAATTTCCGTCACGATAGAATTCGGATGCTGCCACATCCATGCCAATCACAATCTCATCTGTGTATCCAGCTTTACTGATGGCACTCTTTAGCAGCTCTAGGGCTATTATACGCATACAAAAAAGAGCAATATAAAGTTGTAAATCATTTCAGCTGTATAGTCTCAAACAGTGCGATTTGTTTTTTCAGATACCTTCTTGGTTCTCCAGGATGTTTGGTGCAAATCCTCCCTCATCCCCAACGTTGGTGGCATCCTTGCCATATTTCTCCTTAATAACATTCTTCAAATTATGGTACACCTCTGCACCAATGCGCATGGCTTCCTTAAAGCTTCTGGCCCCGACAGGCAGAATCATGAATTCCTGCATGGCCAACTTATTGCCAGCATGTGAGCCACCATTGATCACATTAAAGGCCTTTGGGAAAACAATAAGCAAAATTCAATGAGAGAATAAAATGTTTTCCCATAATTTGCTTTCCTACTTTTATTAAGATTTAAATAACAAAAGAAAGCAAATAGGAAAACTGTCTGTATGGCTTAAGCCCCTTTCACACCAAGAACGATAACTATAAAGATAACGATATTAGCGTCCGCACCAGCGAACGATATCGTCTGTTTATTCTAAGCACATGCTCGTCTGCCGCTTTAAATTCTCGAGCTTGTTACAGCAGGATGGATTCTGATTGGCTGTCATTTTTTATTGTTCATCAGCTGGAAAAAATAGTTTTGAAAGTGATTCCAACGATATCGTTTCTCTTTGTCTTTATCGTTATAGTTGTGGTGTGGACTCTGCTATTCTTTAATATTGAGAACAATTTTTAGAACTATATCGTTATCTTTATAGTTATCATCCTTGGTGTGAACGGGCCTTTAGGCTACTTGTAAAATCTGAAATTATTCATGAGGACAAAGCTGGTCTGCAGTTAAAATACCCTCTTAAAATAAAAAGACATAATATCTTTGAGCTCAAACACAATCGAATTAATGATCTTTTAACATTTTCAGTCGCATGACACTTTTCCGTACTGTACAATTTCAAATACAAAACTTTTATATTTCTCACTGGCACAGGCAGGATGACCTCAGGGTTTCCAGCAAGGTCAGCAATGTGACGATACAGAGGAACACCTTTCTCTGCGGATCCTGCCTTACACACAGCCAGGGACACACCCAGGATGGCATTGGCACCAAATTTAGCTGATATTCGAAACAGACAGGAATTAAAAGGACTATGACTATGACTAGACACAACCCCTAATATTTACAATACTTTAAATTTGGAAAACTATCACTTTTTTCTTTGAATTTGCATTTTTTTTGTGACAATGTTTTCAAATGTACTCTACCATTCAAAAGTTTGTAATAATTTTTTATGTAATAGTGTGTGATAATTGTGTGTAATAATTTTTTCAGTTTTTGAAAGACACTTCATATGCTCACCAAGGCTGCATTTATTTGATTAAAAATACAGTAAAACCAGTCATAACAAATATCAAACAATCAGAAAAAAACAGAAAGAAAAGCAAAAGCAAGGCATTTATTTTAATAACATTAAACATTTACTGCCACTTTTGATCAGTTTAATGCATCCTTGCTGATTAAATGTATTGATTTCTTTAAAAATATCTTACTGGACATACATTTTTGAACTACAGTGTAATGTAACTGGGTAATTGGGTGTAAGAAACTTAAAGGAGAACAAATCATTAAAGGGAAAGTATTTTAAAGCAAAGGACAACATGCATACACATGTAAATATTATGATTTACACTTGTTATCAGTTCCATCCAGTTCCAGCATGAACTGGTCAATCTTTTCTTGCTCAACTGCAGGAATTCCCTATGTGACGGAGAGAAAAAATATAATTAACCCAACAAACTTACAGTTACTATTTTCTTTTGTTTCAAAATGAAATTATAAAATACTCACCTGGCTGATCAGGGCAGGTGCAATAGTTTGGTTCACATGCTCAACAGCCTTTGATACACCTACATTACACAGAAAAAGAAGGAAGATACTACAGGTATAAGCACAAGTTATTGTGGATTGAATGGTGCTGCAATTAGACACATGCACATCTCTACATTCCCTTGCTTAGTTTATGCCACAAAGCTATAGATTGTCAGATTTTTCTAATTTGTAATGTCAGCCAAGCGACAGCCATAAACAATCTGATTTATTCCATGCAAACATTGTGCATTAAATAATACTGAAATACCACAGTACAGATTCTTGCATTATTCACTGATCTGAATCACATGCGCAAGCTTTTCAGATTTTACATAATTTTTTTTCATAATACATAATTCACACCACAGAATTCGACACTGGGTTGAATATGTCATGCAAATTCAGAGCCATCAAACAAAAAAAATAAAATTTTCTCACTAGTTCACTGAGGTACCTGTTAACACAAGGCTGAACCCAGCTATTAATCAGTACATTTAATAAGTCCTCCTTTCCAATCTAACAGAAAAAAACAGAGCGGGGAAGAGAAACAGTCCTTTGTGTCCTTTGGTTATTTCCAAAACAATTAAAGGGTTAGTTCACCCAAAAATGAAAATTAGGCTGCGTTTTACTCACTCCCGAGGCATCCTAGGTGTATATGACTTTCTTCTTTCAGACGAATCCAGTCGGAGTTATATTAAAAATTGTCTTTGATTTTTCAAGCTGTTTAATTCCCCTCAGCAGGTGTTGCATTGCTTCAGTCCAAAAGAACTTAAATAAAAATCGCCCATCCATAAAAAAAAAAAAGTGTCTCACATGGATCCGGGAGGTAAACAAAGGCCTTCTGTAGCGAATCGATGCGTTTTTGTAAGAAAAATATCCATATTCAAAACGTAATAATCACTTTAATGTAGCTTGCGCCAACAGTTGTACACAGAAGCAGCTCCGGGAGCATGACGTATGAGGTCAGCGTTGCGCACGCGCCGGTGAGTCTCGTGAAAACCAACGTTTGTTTACAGAAGCAAAGGAAGAAAAGTTTCCTTACTTTAGCAAAGGAAAACCAGTCTCCTCTTGGCTTATATCGAAATCCTCCGACATTCTTCTTTACAAATCCTCGTTTTGTACTTCTAATTCTTGACCGTTGTTTTGTTTTGATCTCTCCACGTGCGTTTCCGCGTGCGTCACTTCTGAGTGGCGCATGCACAAAGCCGACCTCATACGCCATTCCCCCGGAACTGCTTCTGTTTACAACAGTGAGCGCAAGCTAGATTCAAGTGATTATTACTTCTTTTTTTTATGGATGGGCGATTTTTATTTAAGTTCTTTTGGACTGAAGCAATGCAACACCTGCTGAGGGGAATTAAACAGCTTGAAAGATGAAAGACAATTTTTAATATAACTCCGACTGGATTCGTCTGAAAGAAGAAAGTCATATACACCTAGGATGCCTCGGGGGTGAGTAAAACGCAGCCTAATTTTCATTTTTGGGTGAACTAACTCTTTAACAATAAATTCTGTAAAACCAGATGAAATGTGATTTCTAGTTTCATTCAGATCATCAGAAACATGAAAAAGCAGAGTTACCTTTGCCCAGGTAACGTGACTTGTCATTGTCTCTCAGCTCCAATGCTTCATAGATTCCAGTAGACGCTCCACTAGGGACAGCAGCTCGAAACAGACCTGTTTCAAAACCAGTAGATGAGTTTTCATTCTGCTTGTAATGTCAGTACACTAAACCTTCTTAGTTTAGTTTTCAATTTGGAAAGAAACATCAAGGGGAATCACCTTTCTCTGTGTAAAGGTCCACCTCTACAGTGGGGTTGCCCCTAGAATCAAAAATCTCACGGGCATGTATCTTTAGGATAGACATGTTCCTTAAAAAACAATAAATAAATAAAAAGTAAAAAAGATCAGATTACAAATTAAAGGGGTCTGCTTCTGCTGAAACTACAAATCTAACCACAAATCTAAAAGAGATTTCAAGGAAACCTGAGAACACCATCTGCCTTACAGTAATGCTACTACTAACTCACAGGGTCACTTTGTCAAATCATCTTTCCTGTTATTAGGACTAATCATTATTGAAGGGAAACATCTGCATGAATAAATACACATCTCTTTCAAGCAAATATATGATTAATAGCTTTCAAATATACACATAGTGTTTTGAAGATTGTCCTATTCCTTGGGGCATCATGAGAAACTCAGGTCTAATTGGATTAGCAGCTGTCAACAGAAAACTAAAAGCTTACTAAACTAGTCTAGACGTTTTTGCCTACACATAATACACACATCAACACTATTTGTTCAACTGTACAGTGCCAATGGCGCGTCTCAAACTCATCTCCTTCCTGGAATAGGATTTCTTTCTCGTATAGTATGTTCTGCAAATATTTAATCCCATTACAGTGTGTGAATATGAGTGGGCGTGATGGAAAGCACGACTCATCACGGTCTTCAAAATCAAGTGCTCATCCAGCATTTTATTAGTGAGACACTCGAGATTGAGAATTTAATGCTCTCTGTCTAAATATAACGGAATAACCGTGTACAGAGATTGCCCGAGATTAACGAAAAAGCCCGATTTCAATATAAATCAAATGTAATATTGGCTAGAAGATGGTCACAATTAAGCGGGTATTTGAAAGGCCATAAATACAATGCTTCTTACCTCAGCGATAGCGTATAATTAAAGGACAAGATGAAGAAACCAAGCTTTCACTCAAATTCACACTCACTGCTAGCGGCTCTGGTTAGTAGAAGAGCTCAGCGTGTGCTCACTCTCAGAGAAAACTCACCCATAGGCAATAGTATCCAGCTGCAGACCCGCAGCACCAGCAGTTTCAGAACCACAGCCACAGAACCGCAGCCACAGAACCGGAAGTGAGGGGAGGAGCTTACATTTTTTAACAGAGTAGCGCCACCTTAGGGTTTTTAAGGGGTAATTTGCTTTTAGTACACACGATACGTCATACTTTATGTATGTATGCATTTTATAATGACATATTAAGCATTTTATAAACATTAATCTTATGTAATTTAGGTGTAGACCTATACAGTTATTCGTTTCATTGTATTATGCGAGTAATTTTGTGATATTACTTATATGATTAACAACTAAATAATCACACCAATAACTGGTTGCAAAAATGTATAGTATATCCTAAAAAAATTAAAAGTACACAGGTAAACTATTATGCAATAATAAATTGTGAGTACATACATTAAACAAACAACTCAAGATATTCATACCTCCACAGACACTGCATGCTGAAGTGGATTTGAAGATGATTTATTAATTTGACCAGTTTGGCTGGATTAAACATGCTGGTCAAGCAGAACACTGCTGGTGATTGCTGTAACACTTGATGTTAGCTAATGTGTCAACTCTCTGAATCCTTATATGAATCTACAAGAGAATAAGACACACACGATTATCTCAATGATGACAAATGGGATTAAAATAACCCAACTACAAGGTAATATTAACACACAAACAATGCATATAACAGAGGGAATTAAAGCAAACTATTTATTTTTATGAATAATAAACGTCTTCAAAACTTCACCACAAGGCCCATTTACAGCATACATCCGAAAATTAATCGAAACAGCCACAGAAAAAAGTGATATACTATAAAGTATGACAACAAATTCAAGTTTCAATATAAGATAATAAAGCCAAGCACACATTAAGTACTTAGCAGATAAATTCTTAACGTAATATATACGATAAATCTCAAACATATGATAGCAAAAACATTACAGAATACTCACCTTGCTCTCTCGTTGTCAATAACTCCTCCCCTCACTTCCGGTTCTGTGGCTGCGGTTCTGAAACTGCTGGTGCTGCGGGTCTGCAGCTGGATATATCTCCCCGTAGGGGGAGATCATAGAAAAGACTAGGTAAGGTGAATGGCAGTTGTCTGGAGATATGTTGTTTTACAACATGTGGTGAGGAAATGAGCAGAGCTTCGCGGCCGGGAAGTTGTCGGATATACATTTTTATTGTAGCTCTTCTTTTTTTAACACTTCACTGTATATTCACGATTTAATGGATAGTAAGATTTTGTTCAAGATAAATATATATATTTTTGGACCACTAACGAAGGGGACGGTGTTTTCACGTGTAACCTATTACTTTTCTCAACGCTGCTAGGGCTTGACCAATCACAGTATTTGAAGATTACGAGATTAATGTTAGATTAATAGCGATTGCTTTAAATTATTTTCATTTATATGACAGGTAAAATCTTTAGAATTAATAGATTTACTGGTGTATAATCGATTATACGTAGATGTGGAAATGTCTACAATAAGATTAAGATCAAAATGATCTGAAATTTTAATGCAGCTCAATGGAGATTTCGGTTTTCTGAGCAGCCATGCGCTCCCTTGAGGAAGAAACATTGTTTTATAGGAAACCGTGATTATCTAGCAATATTTTTTGGGGGGGGGGGGGCGGGATAACATGATGTAGTTGTAGTGCGTTCTCCAGCAGTGCATGAAATGCTTTTTTCAGAATAAATCTGATTATTTGCCATGGTTTGATAATTCGTTTTAAAGTATTTGAATTTTAAGAATGTAGAATGTTCAGTGTTTTCCGAATCTTGCTGAGACTTGAAGCTCTGGTCCTAAGATTTTTTAGAAACAATATAGAAGCAATATATTTTGCCATTGTACTTATGATGACATACAGAAAAGCAAGAGGATGATGCACAGTCCTACTAGGCCAGTGTGCTGCTGTACGCAATGTAAATACTATCTCAAATTCAAAATCTCAGATTGTTAAATGATTAACAATCTTCCACTGTATTCTTGTCTGTGGGGAGAATGTGATGCAACAACAAGAGGCAACAAGAGTGTTTGTGTGCTGGAGAATCCTAGCAACTCACTCCCTTGGGCCAGTAATCCCTCAGGGCATTGCCCCCACCCTCCATCTTCCATTCCCTCTTTTTATCCCGCTCTCTTTCCACCTTCCCTCTCACACACATACACTTCCTCCGTTCCATTATTATTTCACTTACTCTTCTTATAATGCTCATACAAGCCATGTTAGTTTAGATCAGTTTCACATACAGGTGCGTATTTTCCCTTGTTCACGGTTTGTTTTGTGGAAAGGGTTGATGTTTGGTCGCTTCTTTCAGGTACAGGTTTCTCAGGAGGCCTCCTGACAGCCAGCTGATCCCCGTGTTCCTCCATCCTCATGCCTCACAAATAAGACCTCAGGGATCTCATTAGCAATCCACACACAGGTTTGTGGATATGAGGCATTGACCTGTTGCCTGGGTTACAATGCTGTCCCCGTGTCCCAGCATAAACTCCTGCTAGAGTTGGAATTCTCAGATCCTTTGTTCAGTGCACACAGATGCATATTCTAAAATTTGATTAATGACTGCACAAGTAGTTAAAATAATGATGATTTATTACATGCAGCAAATAGGCATCAAAAACAACAGAGCCACATATCTACAGTACATTTTTATTGTTTAAAGAATTATGTGCATCAAATAGACAAGCTATATATATACGTATATGTATGCATATATACATTTAAAAATCTGCAGATTCATGGCCAGAAAAGAATTGAACTGACCTTTTTTACCTGCTCTTTTTGAAGCAGCCCATGCAAGTGATGCTACCGATCCCTGAAACCTGTTTAGTAAGCCTGTCCTGAACAGACCTTTAGCACAAGCACTTCATTTCCAATGAAACCTTAAATATAGCTCTAAATGATAAAAGCGCAATTTAATAGTACTTTTATGATGGCAAAGGGAGTGGATCTTTATTTTTATAGTCAACAATCTGCTGACGAAGTGCCTTTTCCACACACACACACACACACACACACATATACACACACACACACACATATATATATATATATATATACAGTCAAGGCCAAAAGTTTTGGCAGTGACATAAATTGTGTTTTGCAAAGTTTGCTGCTTCAGTATTTGTAGATTATTTTTCCACATGTTTCTATGGTATACTGAAAAACAATGATAAGCATATCATAAGTTTTAAAGGCTTTTATTGGCAAAAAATATAAGGAGTCAATATTTACAGTGTTGACCTTTGTTCTTCACAACCTCTGCAATTTGCACTGGCATGCTGGATATTAGCTTCTGGGCCAAATCCTGACTGATGGCGATCCATTCTTGCCTTGTTAGTTCTCGGAGTTGATCACAATTTGTGGGCTTCTGCTTGTCCACTCACCTTTTGAGGACTGACCACGGCTTCTCTATGGGATTGAGATCCGGGGAGTTGCCTGGCCACAGATCCAAAATTTCAATGTAATGATCTTCGAGCCACTTCTTTATCACTCTTGCTTTGTGACATGGTGCTCCATCATGCTGGAAAATGCACGGATCATCACCAAATTTCTCATGGATCGTTGGAAGAAGTCGCTCTTGCAGGACGTTTTGATACCATTCTTTATTCATGGCAGTGTTTTTGGGCAGAATTATGAGAGAGCCCACTCCC